GCTGGCAAATACCACTTCTGACTGGAGATTTTATAGTATCCTTCCCCTGCCACACCCACCAAGCCACATGAACCAATAGTAAAAAAAGATTGAATCCCACCACTGTTCCAACCTTTATATTATATAAAGTGAATAGTACTAGATATAAGAATTTACATGAACTCTTAAAGCAATAAGTCTTAACTCTCTAGAAATACTACAACATGTTCTATATCTAATGGATACATTAGGTGTTCTGTCTCACTTTTCTTCTTTCCCAAAAGATGAAAGAATACAAACTCACACAAACACAGGCAGGCAAGCTGGCTTGGACTTCACAGAGTTAATTCTTTGGAACGGATAATATCCTTGGCATTCCAACACCCTCTGCCTGCCAAGTCCGAACTGATAACAAATAAAAATCTACTCACAGAAAATTACAAGGCAGTCCACAAAAATCATTCATGAAGAAAATCTGAAGATTAAACTTTGTCCCATACAAAGTTCCAGCCGAAAACACACCCACTTTTATCCCCTGTGGGGTGTGGCTCAATGACTCAACTCACTTTCTGACCCTCCCACGCCTCCTACGTTGCTGCTCACATTTCTCCCTATGACGCTGCTTAGGATCAAGCCAACACTCTTCCTCTTTACTCCCTGTCAGGGGCTGCTCCGATATGCCTTCCTCCTGATTAATCTCAGGCTGTTCCTCTCGGTTGTCTGATGAAACCTGAGGCATTATCAGGGAGGAAGGCATTGCCAGAGAGGAAGGTCCTGGGGAGGAAGGCATTCCCAGTTCCTCCTCCTCATCTTCTTCTTCTGACAGCATAGGCTCGGGAATCGGGGCCACAACACATATGTATTATTGCTATATACATAGAAAGTTATCTACTAAAGAAGTCAAGCCTTGAGTATGTATTTGTGTCAATGTCAGCTCCAAGTCTTAAGTCCTAAACCATTCCCTCTTGCCATTTTGAATAAACAACTTTTAGGTATTATTTTTGGGCCATCAGAATTTAAAATATTTGTTTCATGTTTTCATAGTTATTCTTTCTGACTTAAAAATTGCTAGTTCTCAGCCTTTACACCAAATTAACTACTTGATTTGCTTTTGGGACAGTAGGCAGATGCTGAGGATTATTGATTACATTTTTCTTAAGAGTTACAGATATGTAATATGGAAAAGGTACTGAATAGAAGTTTGTCTAAGATATATGTGTCTGTCACCCACATTTTAATAAGGATTTCTCCTTTTAATTTCTCCAAAAAGAGTGATTTAAGTTCCCTTCGCTAAAACCTATTTATTCATCTTCCAAGATGTTACCCTGCTTTAACTAATCATAGGGTTTTTTACAGAGATGCTTCACATATAAATTTACCAATTAGTTATGAAACTTATTGTTCTATAGTTAGTGCATTAGAAAAAAAAATATGATCTGCAAGGTGTGCTAAAACAAATATTACATAGCATACAGCAATAAGTAGCTTTCTGGTGCTTGAAGAAAACAATACTGGTATTTCACAAGCTCCAAGAAGAAATTGCACAAGTGATATTAGATTATGTAAATCGTATTATTCTACCATGGCAATAATGTCAAGCGAGCTGAAAATAATCTGAAACTTCTCCAACCTTTTGGTGTAATTTGGCTTAACCATTGAGTTGCATCACCTAAAATCAATCTTCATCTTTTATTAACATACTGTATATATACTGTATATATTCATGACTTACACCACTTGACTTTTCTTGAAATTCATTTTGCATTTTCACTTGGTCACATGGCACATAATTCAGCCTAATTATTCAAGTTTGGGAAGAGTTTAATTAGACTAATTAAATTCCAAATGATCATAAACTGCTAGGCTGTATTGCTGGTATGAGGTAAATTTTTAAACCCCATGCTTGGGGTGGGGTGGGATGATGGGGATTGGTTTCAAGAGCTAAATTTAAGTCTGAATCTGTCTTTCCCTGGCCACACTCCTCTTTCTGACTGTCTATGCTTAGCGTGTCTTTTCTGTTTTCCTCCACTGGACCTTGCGCCCAACAGTGAGAAAGTACCAAGAAGCAGTTCCTGGTTTGAGCTTCCCCAAAGATGGACCACTGACCGTGATCGTGCGTGGCTTTGGTTAGTGCTTCGGCGTCGGAGAGCCCCAATCCTTTGGATTTGGGGCAGAAGCTACCTCGTAGGGGTGGCAGAGGAAGAGGAGACCATCAGCTGGGTAGAGGGGAATCACAAATCCCCTCCCCGGCTTGGCAATTGCTTCTTCCCAAAGATGCCTGAAGCGGTGGTCTAAAATGGCCACCCTGAAGGGGAAGATTAGACTGGAATAAGATTGTGCAGGAGAGAGAGAAAGAAGCAAACAGCAGGAGGAACAGGACGATATAATCAAATGGAAGATACCCCCAGGATTAACATTTCAAAGTATCTTTAAGAAAGGATCTAAGCAGCTAAGAGAAAGAGAGGAAAAAAAAAGGTGTGAATTGCTTTTGATAGCATTGGGGCTTCGAAACTGCAAAAGGTAGAAGCTGGAGAAGGAACTATATAATCAACTTGGATAAGTATACTTTGATTTTATATTGGCACTAATAAAGCTGAACTATAGATTGTTAAAGAGGAAATTTAATATCAACTGGATTTGATCTTTTTCTTGTTGGAAAATTATGGTTTAAAAAGCTCTGAATAAAAGAGAAGAAAAAAGGAAAGATGGGGTGAAGACTTAGCACAATAAAGAGTGCCATCTCAGTTAAACTCATCTTGTTTTTCTTTTAAAAGACTCTTGTTTCTTGAAATTGCATGGAAATTGATACAATAAAGCAAGAACTTTGAAAAATTGAAACATTGAAACAAAGAAAGAATTGGGAAGATTCTGCTTTTGGATTAGTTGCTGATTCTGACATGAATTTGGCACTGGATTAGCGGAGACTTAAAAACTTGAGAGGAAGAAAAGTTGACTGTTGGAAATAAACTTTAAAGATACTATTTGGATTAAATTGTGAATCAGAAAGTTGTAAAATGGCAATTTCTATTTGGCATTAAAAATGGACCTCAGAAAAATGAAAGAAACACTACAAGAACAAGGTGAATCGCTGGGATTTGCTTTAAAATTTATTGAAAATGCAACAGCAGAATATGAACAACAAAGACAAAAGACAGAAGAGGAGGTGGAGCAAATCATAGAAGAGACCATCTTTAGTGATCATCGAGAACCAAGAACTCTTGAAAGAAAGAAGAAAAGAGTTGGAAATAAATACAGGAGATTTAAGAAATTAAATAGAAAGGGGAATATCTGAAATATTAAAAAAGGGGAAAAGAGTCAGCAGAAATTCAAAGGGCGAAAGGAAGCTATAAATAGAGAGAGGGATAAAAACTGGAGTGAAAGAACAAAGGAGAAAAGACGGGGAAAGAAGGGACAAGAAACAGGACCTGGAAACAAAGAAATATGGGAATTGTAAAAAAAATGGGGAAATCCTTAATTGGACACAGAGATAATGGTTGATTATTATATAGAAAGAGGATTCTGCAAGGTATTGAGGGGTAATATAAATATATTTATAGTTATGAAATAGGAACATACGGACTGACAAGATGGAAAAACAGAATTGTTATTTTTTGGATAATGGAATCTAATGCTCTTCCTCTTTATGTAGAGAGATAATTGTAACAAATAATGGAATAAGTATATTAGATATATTGAAATATTTTAAGATTGGAATGTTGGCTTTTTGGTTTAAATATGAATGGAATAATTAATGGAATATGTGTATTAAATATATGGAAATAAATGAAATGATATAGGAGGAGAGCTGAAATGGAATTAAGTTTAGGGTTTATGATTGTTTTACTGTTTGAATGAGTAGATCAGAGGTGGGCAACTATGGCCCCTTTATGACTTGTGGACTTCAACTCCCAAAATTCCTGAGCTAGCATGGCTTGCTAAGGAATTCTGGGAGTTGAAGTCCATAATTCATAAAAGGGCCATAGTTGCCCACCCCTGGAGTAGATTAATATGTCCTTTTTTGGGGGGGGGGATTAATTAAATTTAAAAGGAGAAAAATCATTCAGAATCTGATTTATATATGCTATGTAGTTTTAAAGGGATTATTAAGTTTTATGTTTTAGGTAATAATGTTAAATGTTTCAATGAGATGTAAAAGGGGTGAAAATAAATGAATTTATAACTTAGAGATGGCGCACTTATATTGAGATTTCGGGGGGAAACCAATTTATAGAAGAAGTGTCTTTTTAAATTAGAATTTAAGATGAAATATACAAATGTGACAGTTAAAAGTACTAAAGTATAATGATTATGAAGTTATCATAAGTGAATTAAATAATGAGATAAATATTTGGAATAATACAATAAAATAGAAAATGTATAAAAGCACTGTTAAAATAAGGATATAAAAATTGAATATGTAACCATGGTCACATTTGTATGTATATGTGAAACCTGTAATCATGCTGTTCACTAAAAAGAGACGTTAAAATATGGAAAACTGAATGAAACTTGTTTAGAAAAAAAAAAGTGCCAAGAGGCGACTGCTCTGAGCGAACTGCCTCAAGCACATTCACCTGATCAACACAGAATGTGTCGGTTTAGCGCAGTGTCAAGAGTATTAAAAGAACAAACAAGTACTGTGGCCAGTTGGCAGGGATCCAATTATAACAGCGATACCTCAAGCTTTCAGCTGTGCAAAGCGAAACGAGAGACCCGAGCGGTGCCGAGCATTTTCCCCTCTTTAAGGGATGCTTAAGTGGGTTAACGCCACCCACCACGCTGCCAAGGGGGCGCTCGGTGTTCTCGGTTGTTTTTTGTTTTGGTTTTTCTCGGCAGCGAAGTTGGGATAACTGGGCTGAGGGGACTTTCCCGTCTCCCCTGGAGAACCGACCCTTGCCGGTCAACTTCTCCTTTCCACTGTATTGGCTGAACAATGAGGGAGGTAAATTCCCTCCTTTAACTGCAGATTAGACTAACAATGAGACTATGCAGTCTTCCGCCCATAGAGCAGGTTGCAGGACCGCCTTTGGGGTAGATGGGCGGGTTTTCTTTGGACCGCCATCTAGAGAATCTGCGCCGGCGGTACTGCTTTGTGGCGGCCTTCTTGTTTGCAGGACGGACGTAAATCTTTTTCTCTTCAGCAAGGTCTCGAGCCGGGAGGAGTAAAACGGCAGAGTAAGTCGGTGCGCGCGGCCGATAACTAGCTGAAAAGCTTCTACGGCGTAGCTCTGGGACGCTGAGGATTGTGGTTGCTTCACGCTCAGGGCTAGAACCCGAGAGACCCTTAAGAATATTGTACAATGGATTTCACTCTGTCTCTGTGTGTGTGTACTTGCGTACTTGCACACGCACGCACACGGGGGGGGGGGGGCGGAAGAAGAGAAAGATCCGCTCTCGTGCTCTTTATGTAATTGTTTCCCTTAATCCAAAGTCCAGAGTTATGTCGGCTGAAATGGTTGGTAAAATACAAGAGCAGTTCCTTTTTAGTGAGAGGGAATTTCCTCTCGTTTTTTCACAAGTTATGGTCAGGCCAGATCTTTTCGAAATTAGCAGAGGCAAAGATAAACTTTTTGCCTGATCTGTTTGGCTTTGGGTTTATTTTAGTTAAAGGGTGTATAAGGTCCTTCCTTTTTATACAGTATAACACTGGATGGGTAACAAATCAAACCTATTCAATATATTAAAAATACAAACATATCTCTGCTCCCATTTAAAAACCATTTTCTAACCAGGTGGCAGAACTACCTCCCACCAAACTGCATATGTAGTTTATATTGTATATTTAGTATGTTGTACTCTTTGTATTAAGGTTATCATAATATACAATACACATCAAAAGAAAGATAGAGAAATGGAAAAGGAAAAAAGGAGTGTAGGATAAGAAAGCATAAGAGTTCCATTTTTTCAGTTTAGTTTTGTGTTTCACTTTTACATATTGCACCACATGATGGTGTGAGCTCCCTTTACTTGCCCCAACTTCTGCCAATCTAGCAGTTTCGAAACAATGCAAATATGAGTAGATTAATAACTACCATTTCAGTGGGAAAGTTCTGTGCACCTTTGGAGTATAGCCATGCTGGCCACATGACCACGGAAATTGTCTCAGCTAAGAAACATAGATGAGCACTACCCTCTAGAGTCAGACACCGACTGGACAGGGTACTAGACACTTCTATAACAACAAACAAATCAGCAAATCCCAAAGTCATGGTTTCATTTTTTTTCTATTTTGAGCAGTTTCATATATTGTTATGATTTCAGAAACTGGATCTATCAGGAAAATATTAGACAGTGTTCTGAAACTGGTGGAATACGGTTTTGTGTGACCTGACTACAAAACTGGCTATTGAGCTGAAATGTAGTAAATAAATATTAGCTTTAGCTGATCAGGTGACAGTTTAAAGAAGTTTTCTTTTCTTTCTTTCTTTTCATTTTTGAAAAAGAAGCCATATATAGGATTAGGGTTAACAGGACCACTAAAAATTATATTTAACAATGTTTGTTCACAATTTTACTGGATCATACTGCTGTGTCTTATTTATAATTAAGCATGAAAGTGCTGAATTATCGTCAACAACCAAGATAAACACATCTATACATGAACATCACCAGGCGGAGTATATAGAAATAACATTTAGTATATCATTCTTAAAAGAAATGAAGGATCTTGTTAGGGATATACCCTAGCAAGATCTGCAGGGCAGTCAGGCAGGCAGGCAAAATATGTGTGAGATAAACGTTGTGTAGCTTACACTCAGTAAAAACAGATACAAGTGCTAATTAAATAGTTTTATTCCAGCAAGAGGTAAAGCATAGTCAAAAGAGTCCATATATCATTCACTTAGTTCAGTCCGTCCAGGGATTATTCAGTTGCAAATTCCAGTGTCGAAAAAGAGAGGTCAGTACACTTACAAATATCAGTCCGATGATATATCTCCTCGCAGTAGAGAGATATGAATAACTCAGAAAAAACTCCTCTCTTCTTATCAGCAACTCTTCAGTAGGGGAAAACACGCAGCTAACAAACATCAACGTAATCCAATCCAGTAATTGTCAGTAATTGCCAGCAAACTGTCAGCGTCTCGTCAGCAATCAATCAGGTCCTCTTGCTGCCTCTTATGGTGGTTTCACACCACACCCAAAATTACATGCTTTGCATTTAAAGTGACACACACTTAAACTAACAATCATAGCTTATATATATTATTTTACCCAAACTAGTTAGGTGACCTATGTTATACCTAACAGATCTCAATTATAGCATCAAAACAGCCAGAAGCTGACTATGGAACAGATCTCAGACTGCAATGGAAAGTGTGGGTGACATTGAGGAACAAGGTCAAAAGTTGCTAAGATCAGATAAGAGGCAGGAGTTCCCAGTGGCTTAATTATCAGAGAAATAAAGTTTAGGAAGGGGCCACCCTAATGTATCAAGCAATTAAAAGTATACTTTTAGACTTGCAAGATTCTGTTTAAGCTAATCTTACAATAAAGTAGAACTAGTTCATCTAGTGATGTTTCCCATGTAGTTTAGCTAGGAGGGCTGACATGAATTGTTCCAAGTTAGGCTAAAGAAGAAGAAAGCCAGGCAGTTTCTATGATATGATCTTGAACAAATACCTATCATTTTCAAGGAAAATATCAAGAATCACTTTGAATCTTGTTTATAGAGACAGATGAATTATGGAATGAGCTTAAAGAAGTTATTAAGGATGAATGTAAAAGTATCTGCCAAAAATGAAGAAAAAGAAGAAAACTAAATAGGATTGTTAGAACAAACTGGAGAGTCTCAAGAGAAGAGAAATCAAACCAAGAAAGATAAAATTCTCAGGGGTTGGTCGAAGAATTTAAGAGTGCAGTTAGAAGAAACAATAACCAGTATCACAGTATCTGTAAAAACATTAAAGATGAAAACAGACATGTTAAAAAACAAGGAAAGTCTTTTAACAGTTCAAAAGGAGGTTCTAAACTTAAATTGATGTACAAGAATGCTCCATAGCAAACAATTGGTTCACTTAATAACCATAGCATTCACTTAATGACCACTGCCAAAAGTTCAGGAATTTGAGTCAGTCACATGATGACATACTTCATGATTGTCACAAATTAACAACCATAACTGGCAGGTCCAGTTGCAATTTGAGGACTACTAGTATAAATTGTGTATAGTAATAAAAACAATCTGTAATTAATTGGAGGCTAGTGATTTTACAATTCTGTACAGGTAGTCCACAATTAAGCCCAAAATTTATGTTGCTAAGTGAGAAATTTGTTAAGTGAGTTTTGTCCCATTTTATGACTTGGCACATTTGTTAAATGAATCACTGCAGTTGTTAAATTAGTCACATGGTTGTTAAGTGAATCTGGCTTCTCCATTAACTTTGCTTGTCAGAAGGTCACAAAAAGGGAATCACATGACTCCAGGATACTGCAACAGTCATAAATATGAATCAGTTGTCAAGCTTTTGAATTTTGATCAGGTGATCACGGGGATTCTGTAATGGTCATAAGTGTAAAAAAAATTGGCATAAGTCACTTCTTTCAGGGCCGTTGTAACTTCAAACAGTCATTCAAAGAACTATTGTAAGTCGAGGACTACCTGTATTAGCCAGTTTTATAATTTGGCAGGCATAAATAAGGCAAACATCAAACAAATATTTACAGAATTGAATATCTTTAGAAGGATGAGAAATACAATAAATCATGGGTAGAAGCAGACTCAAGACTATAAATCCTTTTACTTAGTTTGCTCAATATTCATACTAAATTTAATAGGATTTAAGCCATGATATAATAAAGCAATTCTTAACCCTTAATAAAGAATTGTATGTAAAAAAATTGATACGTAGGTAACAAGGATGTCTGCAAAACAAGGTATAGTAACGGTATGATACTGTCAGCTGTGGAAGCCATATTGAGATTCGATGCTCCCACACTGCCACAATTGAGCCTGAGTAGGGGGGGGGGAGGAATTCATTTGAGTATATTGAGTTAGACAAAATAAAATTCTTTTGTTGGTTCAAGGTCACTGAGTGTGGCGAATAATGAAATGGGAATCTTACTTTAGGATGGATGGTGATTGGACCATGTGATGTGGCGATGGCTAAGGGAGGATGGGTTTGTTTTGACTTTTCAAGGAAGCCCAAAACTTTCAGATTTGGGATTCCACAGATGTGCCAGATATTATCCAAATAAAGGGACCTTTGAGAGATGTCTGTCTTGGAGTTATTGATTGGAATGGAGAGTTGCTGGAACGCTGGAAGATACCTTCGATGAGATGGTGACAGTGATATCACAGTCAATGTTCTGCCTACTTTTGCAGTGCCCACTGAGTGCCCTATTATGGCAGTATCTTGTCTTTTGTTTCTTACTATAAGTTGTGGATTGTTTATTTAGTTATTTATTTTGTGCCATTGAGTCAGTATTGATGAGTCTCTGTAATTTATCAGTCCCTGATAAACAATTCAACGATGCTGATGAAAAATTTCCTGAAAACGCCTAGTAATATGTATCTGTAGTTACATACTAGGGCAGTTATAAAGTCAGTCGAGGGGTGAATATATACAACCAACCTTGTTTTTCTGCACTTCAGAAGAATGTACACATAAATTGTCTATGGAGGGCATAACAAACTTTCTGCCATTTTTGTATCCAAATTCACATGGGTTTTGTCATCTCTATTCAAAGATAGATAAATCCATTCTTCATGTGCTACATAGGATTTACTGTCTCGTATCTTGTACTTTTATTTGTATTTGGCCAAATGCCACTAGATAGATAGATAGATAGATAGATAGATAGATAGGAGATAGAATAGATTAAACATTAATTGCAAATGTAATAACTGAAATTATTTAATTTATTGAAATTTACCTGTGAAGTTTCCTTACTAATTGGGAAACCTTTGGGGAATAATCACTTAAACATGAAGCAATGAAGTATTTGGGAGATTTGTCCCAGGACTGCTTTACAATGAATCCATATACAGGGAATGATATCTTCTATACACTGAAATTAACACTGCAAACCTTTTCTTCCAAAGAAATGTTATAAAGTCCTCCCATTAAATAAACTGAGAAAAGTGTTTGAAATCCATTCAGTTAAACGCTGCACATTTTAAGACAAAATGTAAATGGATACAATGTTCTAATTTATTTCTCCTCGAACAATAACAATTAAAGTATCTAATTGGAAACTAGAAGTCACAGTCCCATCTTCACCTTCATAATAATCATAAGTCTAGTTCAGCTAGTTAAGTTATTAATCATCTGTTCAAACGTCTCCCATGCTAAGCTTATGCTGGTCTACCAGAATGTAGCACTCCCTAAACAAACCCCATCTCTATTACTCCATCTAATTGGTGAAGGCAGACATTGCCTACTCTATTCATAATGTGCCAGAATTTCAGATAATACAGATCTATTCTAACTACAATAAATGAGCCTGAATTCTATTAGGAGGAAAGCTGCAGCTTATACTGAAAGAAGGCCCAGAGTCTTTCTCAAAAATGCATTCTAAAGAGATTCTAAGGTATCACCAGCAACTGCACTTAAATATGTTTTCTGTACATAATGTGAATGAAAACTAAGATTTGGTTAATATGTGGCCACACAGATATTCCAATGTTTTAGATAGAATTGAGAAGTTTAAGCAGGTGAAATTAACAGTATAGTACCTCTGTTCTATTGTCAAGAAGAAAATATGGATATGTCCATGTTATCACCATGATCAAGCTCACATGGGAAACAGACTGTTTTTGAGGGCCACTGCTGGCCCTGTCAACATCGCCTCCTTGCCACCATCACTGCCTTTTTTCTTCTATTACTACACCTTCCTGCTGTTGCCATGGGTCAGACAGGACAGTCAACAGGCCAGAGGTGGACCATAAAATGCCCAGGTCTGCACTAGGCAATCAAGACACCAATCTAAACAAGCCTCCCTCTTCCCTATTAATGTAATTACTTTATCAGTATTGACCCAAAAGTCTCCTATCCCCAAAAGGAATATTTTCAGTGTGATAAGGCATGGATTCATTATTTAATCCATTATTTATCTCAATTTAAGAATTGTGTTTCTCCTCCTTATCTTTAAATAATGTCCTCATGACCTAAGAACTTCCTTTTCCATTACAACAAAATAAATGTATGGCAATGGATTTAATTGGTCTTTGAATTTATTCAACAGGTAATCTGAAACGTGATCCCCAAAATGAATTTCTTCCTGGAAACGCTCAAAATAATTTTTCTGTGTATATATTATCTGATGGAGTTTTTCTTATCATTCATCTATGCAAAGAAGAAAAATGTTGCTGGTGAAATAGTGCTTATAACTGGAGCTGGAAGTGGAATGGGAAGGCTGATGGCTTTAAAATTTGCTCGACTTGGTACCACTTTAGTTCTTTGGGATATTAATCTGGAAGGAATCAAAGAAACAGCTAGATTAGCACGTAAAATTGGGGCTGTGAGAGTACATGACTACATTTGTGATTGCAGCAAAAGGCAAGAAGTCTATCAAGTGGCAGGCCAGGTAATTATAGCTTTGTACAACATAAAATATTTTATTTAACCATCAAACATTTGTTCCATCTACTAACATGGCATCTGTAAATCACTGGAATTATACATTGCATTAAACTATAGTTCATTTAAAACTGGATTGCTCCAGCATGTTAGGCAATAGACCATGATTTATAAAGTACCATGTCTGAATTTATACAACTTATAAAATCAAAATCATGTTATAGGTTCGAACATAGTTATAAGAGTGCATAAGATGTAGTCCTCCAGATTCCCCAGTAGCTCTAGCCAACATGACCAATATTCTGCTAGCTGAAATTCAGAAATATCTTGAGGACTGGACATGGTATTCCAAATTACTTGCATGCATGACATCATTATGTCATTTTAATACTACTTGTGGTCTTCGATTTATTCAGATAAGTCTTTTTCATGGAGACTTCTGGGATAGCATTTTGGACCTTCTGCTCATAAAACACATGCATCCCAATTCTTAGTAGTGTCTTTTCAAACAGCAGTGAAGACCCTAAGTTTACCACAGATCCTTAATGCTGAATGATAAATTGAATAGAAGGGAACGAAGGTGAAATTTAAATCAGAGAAAAAAAAATATTTTTCAACTTGCCCCAGTGTTTTTCTATTCTTTGAAACTTTAAAGAAGTCTACTTTACTGAACAGTGAAGTGTGACTATAGATGACAGGTGAAATAAGTATGAGCCTCCATTTCATGTAATATGGCATATTTAATGCAAACGTATGAAGATCTCTGTGTGAAGATATTTGTAGCTGTGCTTTCTTTTGAATTATGTAAATTTACTACAATTGTTTTAATGGGCTTTTCTGTGGCTGTTCTAGGTGAAAAAGGAAGTTGGTGATGTTGGTATCCTGATTAATAATGCTGGCATCATAACAGGAAGGATGTTTTTAGACACTCCAGATATGCTTCTAGAGAAAAGTATTCAAGTGAACACAATGGCACACTTTTGGGTAACAGATTTTTGATTAATTGTGAAAGTATATCCAGTATGAACTTAAATTGTGTTTTTATTAGTAAAAATGGCCTTACAGATAGACCTCTCCTGGGAAGTTCTTTGTCTTTTCTCATCATCTGCTGCACAATAAGAAAAAATGATTTCATAGTAGAATATCTTCTCTCACTAGCTTCTGATCAAATTTCTAAAAAGTAAACAAATAAATGGAATCCAAGAAAGAAGATAGGGGCAAGGGAGACCACATTAACATAATTGTAAGAAAATCATAAATATAAATCCTGTTTCTCATAAGCAATTTCAAAGCTCTGCATAGCATTGTCCTCAGCATCCAATCAATTCTATCACCACATAATACATTTCTATCCTAGTGAAGAAGCTATAAGAATTACACAAAGGCTCTTTTAGAAGATGATTCAATAATTTCAAAGGAGTAATTCTACTATGATGGGATCATTTTCTTTCACAAAAGGACTATATGGTGATCTCTAAGATGCACAAATACTTTAATGAGCCCCTTTCAACCTGCAGTGCTTGTTAGCCCACTTTCTCTGATCGACAAAAGATTATATTTTTAATAATTTGTTTCTCCGTTTTTTTAAAATTAAGCTGTATAATTTTCTCTAAAGCATGTTCCTTCTTAACCCTTCTCTATTCAACTATTGTCACTCAACTTGAGAAGCTGAAAATAAAGAAAAAAAAGTTCCCCACTTCTAACCAAGGCCATATTGGTACTGATTTATGGCTTTTGTTCTGTTATAAAAGAAGAAGAAGAGTATAGTTATTGTAAACATGTGACAGCTGGACAAAATTTACTCTATTGGAACAAATTGAAAGTTTGGGTGAACATACTTAAAATGGGCAGTATATTTATTATCTAACTGTCTTGATTATTGGCCATGAGTATATGAGCTATAAGCCAGTATGCATCAAATTTTGGAAAGAAAAAAGACCCAAAATCTGGAAGGCCACCAATTGTTTAAGCAGGTAATATTGATGTTGATTTTGACTAAGATTCACACAATCAGCTATTGCTGTTGGCAATCACAGGTTAAAAACCTAGAGGTTTTAAAAAACCTTTCAGACATGCTTCTCTATACATAGCATTTTGCAAGAAACAACAAAAATTTTGACTTCTGTCTCCATAGCAAAGATATTGAAAAATGTTTTTCTTTGTTTCTACCTTTGACTTCAGTCTTAATTCCTGGCAACTTCATCAATAACTCCATGCAGTTTTAAAGTCTGCATTTTTGCTATTGATGCCCTCTAGTGGTCTATAATAAAATCAAGAATCATAGCTGCGGTTAGCTGTATATTTAAATTTGAACATAACACAGCAATAACATAGAAACATATAGCAGAAAAAGATCCAGTGGTACATAGAATCTGCCCAATGGGGTGTGTGTGTGTGTGTGTTTTGTTTTAAATTATATTGATTGATTGTTATATGATAGACATGTGTTTATTCCAAACATATTTAAATTCAGTTACTGAAGATTGACCTACCTCTACTGGAAGTTGGCTCCAAGTTTTGACTATTCAACACCAAAGTACTGTTGAACTTCTGAAACAGAGCTAGATTAGATGTATTAGTATTCATCAAAAGTTCAGATTTTACAAGAGTATTATAATGCAAAAGGCTAATCTTTTGCATATTTTTTCATTGGTCTTAATGAGAAGATTCCTTGCAAAAAATTCCTTGTTTATTTTTAGAACCAGCAATGATATCACTTTAATAAAATACTGTTGATAAAATAGTATTTAATACGTACAATAAATACACTACAATACACTTCACCATGAACAAATAGCAAAACTAATTGAAAACTAAAACTACGGATAAACGTAATTTCACGTAGTGAAATGTAAAATGTGCAGAATTTTAAAAATGGCTTATAATGTTTATTATGCAGATGACAATGTTAAATTGGGTTAATTGTAAAAAAATAAAATTTTCAATCTACGGTATACTCTCATAAATGATTATTTATTTATTTACATAGTGAAATATGTAAATATTATTTCTCCTGAATGTATTCTATTTCAGCCTAACATTTCTTGATAAAATTAGAAATCTACTCTGGAACTGAATAATTATATTTTGCTATAGCAAAATCTAACATATTGCCTTCTAATATAGTACTTAGTATTTACATAGTATTTACATTGCAATAAATAATAGCCCTGCAAATTCTCTTATTATTATTTAAATTTGTTATAGTAATGAGCTACACATTTTAGAAGCCCTGGGTCTTTCTGTCAACATTGACTGAGACTGACATCTGAGGAAGGAGGTCAGTGCCTCCCACTTCCATCTCCCATAGCTAGTCTAGAAGGATACCAGGATAACATGGTCAGTGGTATTGAAAGCCACTGAGATCCACCACATCTTGGCTTCACCAAAGATTATCAACAAGCACAACCAACCCATTCTCCGTACTATATCTCAATCCAACTGAAACAAGTCCAGACAATCTGTTTCCTCCAATATTCTTTGTAGCTAAGGTCCAACCACCTTTTGCACAAAATTTTCCTCAAAAGGAAATTTGAAGACTGGATGATTATTATCCCAAAAAGAGAGATCCTAGTAATGACCTCTTGAGGAGAGAATATGCCCTTCTCTCTTTCGAAGAGATTGATACCACCACATAGATCCATCCTTGGTCACTTCCAGGTTGCCTTAACATTCCAGAAGAGAACAAAATGAAACAGATAGCTGAACTGGAAGACCGGAAGACTTTTCAGAAACTCTGAAATATTGTTGTATCTACCCGATGAGGTCATTTTTGAAAATTTACAATTTTTAAAAAATAGTTCTTATTTTTTATATGTTCATATGCTGAAATGTATTTGTTTTTACCTCTTCTTCATAGACTGTCAAAGCATTTGTTCCAGCCATGGTAGCTTCTAATCATGGACATGTGGTGACTGTTTCAAGTGCAGCTGGCTATTACGGTGTCAACAAAATGACAGGTTAGTATATGGCAAAAGTGCTGCAGAAGAGATTAAAAATAACATTTAAACTTAATGGATACAGTAGTTTAATTAAAATTCTTAATTTGATAGTTGAGGTAGGCCAAAGAGTTAGCAACTGTTGTTACAGGTCAATGTTTCCTTTGAACAAGAAACAAAAGACTGTAGTAGGAAAAAAGAAGAAATATGAAAGGGTAATCAAGAGTTATAGAAGTGTTAGAATTTTTTTAAAAAATGATAGGGTAATGTACTTCAAATAATTGAATTAAAAACAGTGAACATGATGGCTGGTAATTTATTTAATTATTCATTCCATCACATTTCATTAATATTTGAAGGAACTGTCTAGAGGTTCCCCACAAATATTTTTAGATATAGCACATTTTATCATAAACATGAGACAGAAGATAACGAAGTTACTATTGCTATTAAGTATAAGATTTATGCATAGTAATTAAGAAAGTTGGAAATTTGGAGTTTGTAATCTGAGACTGCCTTCTTTACCCGCAAAATTCCCAGCCTTTAGGCAGCAATGTTGTAAACATAGGAAATAGACCTCTGAAGGTACAAACAAAAGATGCCAATTGCCATTGATTTTTATTCAGTTAGCTATGCTTATGTGTAATATCCAAAATATTTTATAGGAAGAATATTCTGCTTCATGCACATACAATTCTATTTCTTTCTCACTTTTCAGATTACTGTACAAGTAAATTTGCAGCTGTGGGTTTTGCTGAATCTCTAGCTTTAGAGATGATGGCAATGAAAAAGAATGGTGTAAAATCTACAATTATCTGTCCATATCTAGTGAACACTGGAATGTTTGAAGGCTGTGAAACAAAGTGAGTTGTTTGCATTTCATGAGTGTGTGTGTGTGTGATGGCAGGTTTGAATAAAAATAGTGATGACAGGTTTAAATATAACAGAATGTGGTCTTCTACAGCATTTTCCAACCTTAATACCAATTGTGTATATGAACTTTCCCAGTTTCTTTACCAGAAACCATTTCTGATATTTGTAGAGTTAAGGTCCACCCATCTGGAAGACTGCTGTTGTATGTCACATACATGGAAGTACATTCTTTTGGAGAACTCATTTTGGTCATGAGGCCCTGCTCACAATACTTTTAGTAATATTTTAGTAACTAAGATATAGGATGAGCATGAATACTCTGAGGGGTACTCAGTACTGGTTCTGTTTCAGCCATCTTGTACTTTGCCCAAAAGGAAAGCCAACAAGAGAAGATGCTTTATTAAAGCAACTACATGTTCAATTGTGAATCATGCAGAAAGGGATGATTATGGTGACTGGCTCAATGGAAAAATCAAATCCTTTCTCACTGACAGAATTGGAGGATAAAGTTCATAAGGTATCAGGATTTCCTTTGTTCAAAGTTCCACTGCTTTATTCAGCCTACCAGATCTTTCAGCAGAGAAAATCTGGCCAAGAAAATCAAGAAGTAAATAATACCCTAATCAAGGAACAGCCAGACAAGCTAACAGTAAACAGCCCAACTAAAAAAACCTCCGAGACCACCACTCCCAAACACCATCACTGATGGGGCAAGCCACTGGTATATAAACTGAAAGCAAACCCACTCCTTTCTTGCGCTGATGATATTTCATTTGGATAATGAAATGTCTATAGAAAACAACCAAATTAAAGAGACCACCAGTGACTCCTCAGATGTGATGGCACAGTGGTTAGAATGCAGTATTTGCAGGCTAACTCTGCTCACTGCCAGTTCGATCCTGACTGTCTCAAGGTTGACTCAGCCTTCCATTCTTCGGAGGTTGGTAAAATGAAGACAGATTGCTAGGACAATATGCTGACTCTGTAAACCGCTTAGAGCAGGGGTCGCCAAACTTTTAGACCTCAGGGACCACTAAACTAATTTTAAATCCCATGGACCACTGAATTTTGACTGACAGTGGTTTGCTGAGGTTGGTGGGAGAGAGAGAGATCCAATCTAACCCCAGAGGGCTGGCGGCAATGATCTCTCTCTCTCACACACATACACACACAGGTCCTTCACACACCCCCACCCTTCCAAGGCAGTCATATTCCTAACCTGCTTTTCAGCTCTGTTCTGGGGTGGGGGGGGGGAGACTTTTGGCTTCACACAAGCAGCAGAAGTCTCTTTCTCTCCCCCAAACTCCACCAGAAATGAGTCTTTGCCAGCGCAGCCTCTTAGAACAGGATGCCCAAAGACTCATTTCTGACGGAGTTTGGGGGAGAGAAAGAAACTTTTGCTGCTTTCCTTGCGTCCAGCCACAAGCAGAGGAAAGAAGCAGCCCAGTGGCCAGACCAGGCATGTGGGGCGAATTGGACAAGTTCCCCCCCTTTGCACTTTCCCCTCTCCCCTTATGTGTTGTTCACAATGCTAGCGATGTGGGCCATATGTTCCCTGGGGCCATGTGGGCGGTGCAGCCTTGTGTTCCCACACGGCCTAATTGTTTTGGAGGGTGCTTTGGGGGTAATATTTCTCTGCGGACCACCAAAATTTTCTCGCGCACCACCAGTGGGCTGCAGCTCACTGGTTGGCGACCACTGGCTTAGAGTGTGCTGTAAAGTACTATGAGGTGGTTTATAATTCTATTGCTATTGCTATTTCAACCCTGAACATAAAATATTCTCCTTTATTGGTAAAATCTGGTTTTGGTAAAAAAAAACTGGTAAAATGATTAAGAAATCTCACATTTGCAATGTTAGATATGCTTCTCTGAATGCTTATTAATGAAGTATTTGCAAATTACTCCATTAGAATTAAGAAAACTACCTATAAAAAGTTAAAACGTTGTCCTAAGAATATATAGAGTTCAGATTCTGATAAAACAGTACAATAAGCCAAATGAGAAAATATGCATAGATGGTAGAAGTAGATAAGTACACAGACATATAATAAATTCCTTAAATTATAGAAGAAATTTGCTGGATTGACAAGAAACCAAATCTAAAATCAATTTTTGACAAAGGTTGAAAAATTAAACTGAGGGAATTATTTATATAAATTATAACTGCTTGAAAGCCTTTTATCAAGAAGGCATATGAAGAACTGAGTAAAATACAGGTGACAAACTGAGGATGAAATACGAAAAATTAATAAATGTAGATTGTCCAAATGTTTTATCCACTGTTAACTCAAATATGCAATTGTTAATTCTCTAATGTTTTGCTCTAGAATACTATTTATTATAGTAAGTTATATTATTGTAATAGCGTGAGCATATCTGTATTACATGTACACATATAAAAATAAGGGCAAGAGCAAAAGAAGATATTGGGGTTACAGAGAAAGAGGGAAACAATGTTCATTAGTTGGTTGGTGCTGGTTGCAAGCATATTTTGATGTCTGCTTTAATGTTCAATTGCTATTACAGACAAAAACCAAGAAAAAATGTAATTCAAAGTGGTGATACTTTATTCCATCAGGTGGCCTCATTTGCTGCCCATTATAGATCCAGAATATGCTGTTGAAAGAATTGTGTCTGGGATACTCCGAAATGAACGATATATCTTTATACCACGAAGTCTACAGTTATTTAATGTAGTAAAAAGGTAAGATTATTCTGCTTAGAACTAATTGAAAATGTGTGTGTCAAGAAAGGAACACTGAACAACAAAAAGGTGGTATAAAAAAAGTCACCAAATTTTGTGCTCTATTGAAAGAGCTCTTACCCATATATAAATTAAACAAAATCTTATGCAGATTAACTTTATTTTGGAAATTGATTCACTTCAATTTAATTATTTTAATTGAATTAAGCTGAATTATTCAGAAAGATAAAAGAGGGCACCAGGTTAAGCTACATAAAATGACACCATTTCTTTTTTTAGAACAGATTCTAAAGTTGATGTTCAGTTTCATATAAAAGTACAAAAAAGATGGATTCCCCTATAGTTGATATTTTAAAAAAACAAACAAAAGCAATGAGAAATCAGTATCATACATACTTTCATCCAATAGAACAAATAAGGAACATGTTGAGTGAAGTCTATCTGAAACATAGGAGAATGGTACTTCATAGAAAACAGGGCAAAGAGCAGTGTAGCATATAGACCAGTGAAGCATATAGACCAGTGATGGCGAACCTTTTCGGCACCCAGTGCCCAAAGTGCAAGCACACACACCCAAAATGAAACAGATGCGTGCCCCCTGTATGTGCGTGCCCCTACACATGCACGCCCCCGATGCGCCTCAAGTGCATGTACCCCATGCATGCGTGGCAGAGACCCAAAAACCAAATGGTCAGTGGGAGGCATGCATGGCAGACCTGAGCTTGGGTGATGGTGCATGTGCCCAGACGGGGCTCTGCATGCCACCTGTGGCACGCAGAGCCCCGTAGGGCAGGCCTTGGGAAGATTTATTTCGTTTAACTTGAAGCAATATCCACTAATCTTTGTTTTGAAAAGGTAAAGGGGAAGCTTTGTCACATACCCCAGATCAGCTGCACCTATGCACTAAAGTCAGGCACCATCAGTGTTTTTGTTTTTGTTGTTGCTTTAAAGAAAGAAAATCAAATCATATTCATGGGAATATGAAAGTTTTACAGAATATTCCATTCAAAAGAGGCTTATGTATCCAGCGGTGAAACTGATTTTACAAGATGCTGTATTCCTGTCTTCTATCTTCTGTCTTGCTGCAGAATTCACCATGCTACTTCCATTTATATTTACCCTTTTGGGTGGAAGATTAAGCACTACTTTGCAACCATTCATTTTTCTTTACCAATAATATAAAAAATGATGGGCAGAGCCGTAGTTGGAAATGCATATATTGTTAGAAATAGGTATTTTGCTTTGCAGTTTGTTAATATATTGTAATTTTTTTAAAAAAATACGCAATAAACCTGGTGGGTGCAAAAGATTAAAAGTATGGCAAGCATCTTTAAAATAGAATAATTTCTAGAGTGGGTGTCAGAAATTCAGATACCACATTGTAATTAAGATATTGTTGAAGGCACATTTTACTGCTTGTAGCAGCATAAAATAAGTAGTATCATGCAAGTGCAGAACCAGTATGGCTTATCACCAATGCTTCCCTGCAGTCGCACTTCAGAGCAAAATTGAAATGTGGTTATCTTCAGGTATTGCCTATTGCCCTGGTAAGTATCTCCACCAAGAGAAGGCTGGCCCTTGGATGGGATGGGATTACTTCTAGAGATTAAAAATCTGCAATATAACCTTTGCTTCAATGATAGCTCAGCAGAGGACAAGATAGCAGTTAAGTAGCACTTACTTATATACCACTTCACAGTGTTTTACAGCCCTTGCTAAGTGATTTACAGAGTTAGTATATTGATTATTCCTTCTGGTCTTGTATTCAGAAAGGCTGTTTTCTGTTTGAGACAGAGCCTGAATGAATTTTACTGTAAATTCAGCCCTGGAATAGGGTTAACATTTCTGGATAAAAGGGACATTGTTCCTAAGGGAAGAAAGTCCACAGTTCAACCAGCACTGTATTCCTATATGCAAAATATGGGGGGGGGGAGGGGGGAGAACAACCATATTATTTGAAGAACAAGAAATAAAAAGGGTTTTTTTGCTTCTAAATTCTGAGAAGGGATACCTGAATCATACTCTTAGTAAACCAGAGGCAGTAGTTTGCAGAGGTATTAACAGCATGAATCCAAGTATAATATATCAGTGTATTTTTATTTGTGGATCAAAATAGAACAGAGAGTGGTTAAATGGTTTTACTCTATATACTTTGCATTTCATCATCTCAAAGAAAATTGGGAAATCTAAATGAAGACATTTCTGTTTCATCAATAACAGATCAAAGACTGTAAAGAATACTTAAGAAGGGTTTACATGTGTGTATGGCCCCACCTGAGTTATAGACATCTGTTCCAAAGGGAATTAAATCTCTTATGTGCCATCATGTGTTTAATATGATGGAGAGGGTCTTTTCTTAGCTTCTACAGATTATCTGGGGTCTACAATTTTAGTTTACTGCTATGTTAACAAATTTAATTTTTATGTTTCTTTTGCATTTAATATTTATTTATTAAATTTCTATACTGTCTATCTCACCTAAGTGATTGTTTAGCTTCTTAAACAATGTGCAAAATTGGCATAACACCAATGTAGCAAAACTGACAGCAACACAAAAGTTTAATACAGTATAGAGTGATTTATGTTCTTCTTTTTTTTAGCATTGTTCCTGCAAAAACGCTTGATATCCTTTATGACTATTTTGGAATTTTAAAAGTTATGAATAGATTCAAAGGTCGAACAAAGAACACTGATGAGTACATATACCGGACAAAATCAATAAAACCCCCAGGTTCCCTTGACTAATTATACATTGAGAAGCCAATATATAGAACTTCCCATTTCATTATGTTGGTGCAAAGGTTATGCTTAAAACAAATGTGGAATGGCTTACTAGCAACAGGTGAAATACTGGGAACAGGGTATGAATAATTTTAACTACAGTTTTTTTACAGTTACTGAAATATAACCTAATAGTGATGCTTTATTTCAATAAAATTACTTAATTATAGGGAACAAATTACTTTTTTGTGAACTGTTGGCAAAAAAAGGAAAATAATAAACTAATAATAAACTTATGATATACAAGGTGAGGGTGTTGACCTAGTTGAGTCTAATTACCCCATTCTGATAATGAGACTGGTTTTTTACTTTACATGAGAAGAGGTTCCTGTGACTTCTCCCAAAATACCCAGATATTATCCCGACCCAAACATACTACAACTGCTCCCTAGAAATTGAATGAGAACATCTTGTGGGTTCTGGCTTTCCAGACCTTGTAGTAGAAAAATCTTAGTTTCAGGGTATCCAGCCATGATCAGCTAACTTGGCATTTTAGATACAAAATGAAGCTTGCAGCACCAGCAATATTTTTGAGTTCAATTATTGCTCAGATTTTTCACAACTAAGAATATTTAGACCTCTTTTTGGATATGCCCCAATAAGAATCGCAGGCCTTTATCTAATTAAATTATCTATTTTAAAATACAATTACTTAAAACATTTTTAATATTAGCAAAATTTAAATTGTGTAATGTAGCAGTCTGCAATCAACATTTTCTTTACTATAACACTCTGTACTTCAAGGCCATCTATTTCAATGTAAAATCTGTTTCTGTTGGGAACCAGTTTATGAACATTTTGATTCAATGCTCTTGGCAAAATGTTTAACATGTTTTTTCATTTTCTTTCATTAAACTGTTGTTTATAATTATTAAAATATTATAGAATTTATCCTATGCAAATGCTTCACATGAAAATTATTGTGCCTGTTCTTGTGAAATATAAAATGCTTTGTCTTATATCTCTAATTTTATTTCATCACAGTGAAAAAGGAAAGTGGCTGCCATAGTTTGGTTTTTTCCTATTCCAGCTTATGTATGAGAAATCAGGTAATAGATGTAGGTTGGGTCAACTTACTGACTTCAAATCTATGAAGTATAGGGCAGAATTAAGTTGAAAAATGCAAAAAACAAAACAAAACCCACCACCATCACCACACCCAAATGTTTAAATTGCTGTAGAATTAACAGTGAATTATATTCCCATGTTGAAAGAATTTACTGTTTTATATAGCTTTGAGCTAATCCGAAATAAAAGTTTTTTCTTAAGTGTTTGAGAAGTCTATGCAACTCCAAACTCTTGTTAAGACATGTAAAGTTAGGGCTGGATTCATAGGCCTGAAACTTCAGAAGAATAGATCTGTTTTTTCTGAATTCTGCTTCTGATCTGGGAAAAGATTTCCAGAGATTAGGCCTTCAACTAACACAGAACATATATCATCTCTTTCATTATTCAGTAACTTTAGATAACTAAGCTGATAAAATTATTTCATAAAAGTAAAATAATGATAATCACATGATCAATTTAGTCCAAGAAACTAGTAAAGGCTTACATTTAAATTTGAAATTCCGCTTACAATAATTATATTCTTTAGCGATTACTGTCAAATCATTCCTCAAAATTATTTAGCAAGCACAGTGTTTTCATTTATTTTCTGGAATCTTTCGTCTCTAAGATTGAAATGGTGATAGGCAGCTTCTCTCTTTGTCTAGCTGTATATTGTATAGATAAATAATACAAAAGTAGCTTGAAACAAAGATAAAACAAGCTTTTTCTCAAAAACAATACCTTAAACCAGGGGTCCCCAACCACCGGGCCGCGGACCAGTACCGGGCCGTGGAACATTTCCTACCGGGCCGCCGGTTTGCTGGGTGCCACCATCTTGTTTGATGAGAAAGTGCTTCTGGGTGAGCCTTTCCGGTTGGAAAGCTGCGTTTGGGTGCTGAAAGAATCCTCGCGCCTTAGTTTCATCGAAGGGGGGGGCTTCGTACGAAACTAAGGCGCGAGGATTCTTTCAGCACCCAAGGCAAGGCGAGCCGAGCAACCGTCCCGAAGCTAAGCCCATCGACAAAGTTACCAAGGAAGAGTTGAAGGTGGCGGGGAGAAGTGGGGGACGGCTGGCTGGCCGGTCGCTTGGCTCGCCTTGCCTTGTCATGCGTGCTGATGCCGGTACCGGGCCGCGGATCATTTTGTGATGCCGATACCGGGCCGTGGCACAAAAAAGGTTGGGGGCCACTGCCTTAAACTATACATTGGTCTCATTTATTACAAAGAAATATAATAACATAAAAGATCTGCCAACTCTATATGTGTTCTAACAGTTAAACACATTAATTGCAACTTATAGATACCCATCTTCAATTTTAATGATACTTGGCAGATAACATGGTTAAAAACTACAAAAACCCAAACAGGATCAATAAAATATATAGTGGCAGTCAAGGACAACTGTCACAACAACAACATGCATCTTACAAGCTTATCAGCCTCCTGACCTCCAAGCTAAAGAAAACAGCCATGTTTTAAAGTTTTATGGAAGTCCAGAAGAGTTGGGCCAGCTGGATTTCCTGAAGTATGGTGTTCCAAGGGAGCATGGGACAACTTGCCACTGTCAACTTGCTGCGGCCAACTCATCATGACTAACTCGCCACTAAGTAAGTCACCACGGACAACTTGCGATGGAACAACTCACTGCTGGACCCTTTAACAATTCTAATTATTTAAAATAAACAATATTTTAATTTTTGCCATTCACATTTCATTCTGTTCCTCCTTTTGCATAATTTCTTTAATGATTATATTCCACCATTTCTTTGATATTAGTGTCACTCTTGTCCAGCAGCAAGTTGCCCTATTGTGAGATGGCTGTGGTGAGATGTCCTGTAGCAAGTTGGCCATGGAGAATTGTCATAGACCCATTCCAAGGGACAAGGGTTATAACAAAAAAAAATTACCAGGTTGCATTAGTTGACATTTCCTAATACCCTAGCCCCATGTCACAAAAGGCTTTAGAGGCAACTACCAGGACCTTTTAAATACTACTAAGCCCAGTTAGAACCAGTGCAGTTTACACATTAGATATAATATTTAGATATAGTGGTGTGCTCATAACTGCCTGTGACTCTACATTATCGATCAGCTAAATTTTTCAGATGGTTCTTCAAGACAGCCCAATTAGATCACGTTGCAATAATTATGTAATAGGTGGATATGAGCAATACCACCAATTTAGGAAAGGGTGCAATTGGTGCAAAGTTGTAACTAGAAAACTCTGGCCACAGCTGCTACCCATACTTTAGACAAAAACATGAGATCATAAGATCTCACAAGTTGTACATTGGTTCAGTTTGGGTACTGCGTGCCATCAGGAACTAAAGATGGTCAATCACCTAATCTTGGCAGCTCTAAAATTCATACCTACTTGGTCTTTCTAATGCTGAATTGCAGCCTGTTTTTTCATATCCAGGTTCCTTGTCAGCACTTTTAAGGTAGACCAAGATAAGGAAGCCAAAGTTATGAATGAAACAAAATATTGCAAGTCTGTATGTGTCTTTATCCTAAAAAAAACTAGGAAAGATCAAGTCTGAAATGTTTTCTCAAAATACATGTATGCTTTGGACTCAGATTTCTTTTATCTGACCTTTGTCTTGGCTGCAACTCCCCCTCCTGTTCCTCAAAGTTACTATCCCATTACACCCCCTATTGTTTCCAGACATGAAGGACTTAAAAAGCAGCACTTGGTTGTCCTTGGGCAGAAACCATGAGTATATAAGCATATTGAAATGCTTCAATCCATGCTGGCAGATGACCAGCAGCTTCATTATATGTTAATAAAAAAGAACAGGACAAACCATTACAGTAATCCAGAACACCAGAAAATGAAACAGACCACCCACAGACCATCTTTCAAAAAAAAAAAAAAAGGATGCCGACACACCTTTATCAAAAAATGCCTGACCATTAAAACCACTATACCAACATAAAGTCTGAAAAAGATAAAACGACCACACATCAAAAACATCTTAGAAACCATCAACACATTGTTGCAACAACATGGCATCATAGCAGCACACAAACCAACTAAAACCCTTCAAAACATCTTAAATAAACCGAAAGACAATAGCCCAAGACACATCTACAATATACAATGTAAAAAGACTGGAACAGCTACTATTTAAAACAGACAGAAGACCAGAATACATCCATGAACTAGAACTCTGAAGACATAATGAAACTCTTTAAACTTACAATATGTGGACAGATGCAAGTGTACATTTCACTGGGAAACGGAGCTTCCTAAACCAAGCTAAATCCAAAACACTACAGAATTCCTGAAAACTTGCCATTAAAACAAATCAGCCATCAATTGATACATAGAAATAAACCATATTTACATTCTATGCAAAAGAGACAATAAAAAAGCTAAACAAAAAGACATCCCCTCCAACTGCAAACACCGAAATGAGTAGAGATTAAGACCAGGCAAATAATTAAGCAGAAAACAATATCATAATCAAGGAACTATCGAGAAAACTGCACCCACACTGGCAGGGAAAGCTGCTGTACATAAACAGGCAGCAAATCCCAGAGTTACTTATACTGATGACATTACTTGATTAAGCAATGAAACATCTGCAAGCAAACAACCAAGTTCAGAGTGAACACAACATTAACCAGTTTGGCATTTAATGAATATTTACTAAGATTCTGGGTTAATGAAATACTGTATATTCTTCTTTATTCTAATCCTTAATCAGTGAATGAAATTTATAATGGGTTGGATAGAGGCCAACAGATGAAGACTTTTATCCAGACTGAGAAAATAGACTTGACTGTATGACTTTGGGTTGCAAAAGAATTCAGGTATTTCCAGCTTCAGTTTAGAAAAACATAATGGTTAAGATATTAATCTAAAACAAAACAGATCTAGATTCAAGTCTATTCTCATGGAATCTCATGGTAACTTGATTTGCTACAGAGAAGCACATTAATAAAATAAATAAGGTTTATTTAGCAGCAATATTTCTGCTACTTGTTTTGAAAAGTTACATTTTGCAATATTTTCTCCTGAAATGATACTGTAATTGTGACTTGACTAACTGGAGGTAGTGGAGTTATTGACATTTTTAACTTTCTCTAGTTTATTAAATGCATGCTGTTGCTACTACTGCTACTACTACTACTACTACAGAACAAAAATCTAAACTCTTTTAATGAAAAGCATGTGATTGGCAATAAAAGGAAGTATTATTTCAGCTTCAGAAACCAGAAAATGATGGAAGAATGAAAAGAATGCATATATATTCAGGTCTAATGATATATTTCTTATATTCTAAAATGCTTTTAATCTTTAAGTTTTACATCCAAAACTTGTTGGGAAACAGGAGCTACTGAGACTTTATTTTATTAAACAAATTTATATAGCTGTCCAACTCACAGTTGGGATTATGTACATTAAAATTTTGGAAACTTAATAAAATTTATTTTTTAAAAAAATCTACAGTTTGACCCACCTACAAATAATTTTCAATAATTTTAGAATAATTTACCTCACTGTACACTATAGAAGTGTAACTTCAAGATTAATGACTTAAGAAATAAATTCTATATTTTAATGTATACTACACAATTAAATAGAAAAATACAACAGCAGTTACTTTTTCAGGTCTTTGTCTACAACGAACTGTTGTCTTTCAGGATAGCAATCATAAACTCGAGTAAAAAATAGTCTCTTATGTTAAGCTCAATTCCAGAAAACTCAAGAGTTTTCTTGGCAAAAATATAGAAGTGGCCACTCTGGGGCAAGTAGGGAACGGTTTCTATTCTATTTTTCCCACCAACCTAGATTCTACAGCTCCACAGAGACCTTCCATTCAAATATTAACCAGGCCTGATCACATTTAGCATCGAAGTCCAGTTGTTAAAGAGGCAGCAAGCCAACTTGAGTTGCAGTAAGCTTTATAAATTCTTTTTAAACTTAGTAATTTAAACACTGACAATGCTGTGGGCATACTATTTTCTGCAATGAATTACATATATCAATATAACATTGTCATATTTCTAATAACATCTGAAATTACCTTAATTATCTAGAGGACAAATCCATTTACTAATAACAATTTATTCTAGGAAAAAAAGATCAAGCCATGTTTTTGTACATGAAAGACTTAATCCAAATTTTCTTGTAAGATCATCAATAAGCAAACAATATAATTAATATAATTATATTAGTAATATATTAATATAATAATTGTCATAAAATATAAGTCCCTACTCATGCAGAAATTCAAATTACAGCATTTCAAATAAATCCATCTAATTTGTTTCTATATCTAAATAAAGAGGCACCTATCAGTCTTTAGTTAATTGATTTCCAATGCGTTAGGTATTTTCCAAGATTCAGTTTTTTTTATGTATCTTAAATCCATTTCATGGTAGCCTATATCTTGTAATACAGTAATAGATAACAAATCTTGATCTTCTTGTGACATCCTCTGGTTTATGAAAAATCCTCTATCTTCCCTATCTGTAATCTTAAGGCTGCATATATCCAATATCTTCACATAACTAAATAGACCCATTCCATCCACCAGACCTGAACAAATACAATCTTGGGAGTGAAGAATATTGTAAAAAAACAATTGAACTATTTTATGAATATACTCTGTAAAATCACCAATGGAGTATTTTAAAAGATCAAGCCAACCAACCAACCGTTTCACACCAATACTGGATTTATAGACATTCTAGGAATAGTTGACAACTTTTTACCTCCCTCTAGCCATTTTTCATCTTTAATTCTCTGTAATCCAATTCTATATAATGCCCTTTTCAAAAATTGAAGATTCAACAGTTGAACGAGACAGAGAACATAAATGTAAAATCCAAAGTTTTGTGATGACACATGACACATTAGTTGAGTTCAGGATTATGGTGCGATAATAAACAATTGTTTATTTAATAATTGTACTAAATATGGGAAAAGTTTCAATATTGTCTGAAATGTTGCCGTCAATTTTTCACATTCTAATTTCAATTTATCTGCCTGGTAAATAATACAGAAGAGTTTCTAATCAGTATCAAAAAAAAAACATTTTTTTAAAAAAATCATAAGATTTATATGTATAACTAATCACACTTAAAATTGTTTCAACACAATTGCGGTATTGTCAGCTGAATTCACAAGATCGAATTTGATGTAGCACCCCTTCCTTTCAAATAATTATATATGGTTCAGATACAGATTCATATAGAAGGATATGTATAAATCTATTCATTTTAATTATTTGTGTAACTCTTGAAAGTGTTTGTAGTTTAACCCTTCCATACAACATACCCTTTAACAAATAGCTGCCAAATACTTCCCAGCTCACCTGGCTGTTCTTTGCAGAAGACTTTCCTCATAATGTTCAAATAATACCCTATAAGCAAGAGATGAACAGGGGAGTTTAACCACTAAGTTGAAAAGTTTCTCAAGAACTTTACAAATATATTAAAATACATTTAAGTACTACTCAGTTGAACATTTATTTTTTATTTAAAAAATAAATAAATAATTTTAATTAAAGAAATTATTTTTAAAAATAAAGGTTGTAGAGGTTCATAAATAACATTGAGGGAACAAAAATATTGCCAAAATTAATATATTTAGTGACCTATTTTTGCAACAGATATAAAAAACAATAGGAATGCTGTGATATCCTGACATTAAATGTAATACTTCATGTGAATTCAGTGATTTTTTATTTCACCTATACTGAGATTTAAATATAAATTACAAGTTGATGTCTGTTAGACATGTGGAAAGTGTCCAGTTCTTCCTAAACTTTTTGAAAATACTACATAGCACATTTTCTAGGAAAATCCTGATGTATACCAAACTGAATGTATTAATAAAAATGTTAGTTAATTAATACCACTGAACTGACAGACTTGAGGTAAAAGGTGAAAATATCAAGATTTATAACCATCAGCATTATAGTGAAGAATATCACTCCTTAAAGTAATAATTTTAAGATTACAGGATATTAAGATTTAGTGATTACTAATGATACATTGATCTAAATTAAAATTACCCTACTTTTGCCTTTTCTTGGGAAATAAAATCTATGAGAATATGGTATATTTTCAGCTATTTCATTTGAAAACTAGTTTTACATTATCTGTAATCCATTTGAATTCCTTTCTCCATGTATATATAACATTATGTGGTACAATAAATATAAAACACATGAATTTTCCTAATCAAAACCTTATTTATTTCTACAAGTTTTTCCCATATAAGAATGCATTTCATTCTTTAAAATTTAAAGTTTCAGGGTTCTTTGTTTTTTGTAAAAAATACAGTATAAGGATAGTGGCATTGCAGCGATCAAGAAACCAGTTTTTTAAAATAAAGCATACTGTTATTTTAAAATCATTATACATCCAATATTAATAAAATGGTATGGTCAATATGGTGCTCCTTCCAATGAAGCTAGGATTCTCTTTCTTTCTTCTGCTATAGGCATATCTGGTTTTATTCCATCTTGTTTTCTCTGCATCATAATCCCATGCTAGAAATGAAAACAAATAACACACTTTGATTAAATCCATGTTGTTGTTAACAAATATTTAATATATTTACATATTTAGTTCAGCAAATAAAATACTGTGTAGTTGGAGAAGACTTGCTCCATTAAAATAAATGTTATCTCTGTCATTTAGAGTACCTATTTTTTTTAATACTATTTCAACTTCAGAAGAAGATCACTTGGTTAAGATACACAGTCATCACTCAATAATTTAGAGATGGAACTTGGCCATTAATAGAAATGTGAGTCAGGAGACTTTGCACATGACAGAACTATACAGAGAGCATCATGCTTTGACTTTCTCTTTATCTGCGTAGACACCAATTTATATACATGGACACTACTAGAATGAAGTCACAATGTGGTTAGGCCTAAAGGCTCAACCTCAATAATCTACCAGAAGTCACCTTTTTTTTTAATAAAAAGGGAAATAGTTTGGTAGATTCTAGTTGAACAGAGTGGTATAACATTGAAGTATGCTCAGCTAGTTTTTTTTCCACATGGGAATAAATGAATTTCATCCATAATATTAACTGAAGGAAAGACTACTTCTCTGGACAAGGGGCCATATTTGAACTTCTGAGAGCATGTGATGGATATATTAAAAACGGCTGCAATGGCAAGCTTGCTTCTTAACAAAAGGGATATATGGTCTCAAAGCATCAGTTCACCAGAACTAAAAGTAATGAAATTTTCTCACCCCCTTTGCGTTCTTTTTTTCAAAGCAAGCACTGGGATACACCCATCATTATTTACCTTTTAAGACCTAGATATAAAGAGTGTGTTCGTTCTGTCCGTCCTCTAAAAGATGTTTCATACTATCAACTGAAGTAATTTCCATGAGGAATGAGTGGAGTGTTCCAGCTGATAGTGATGAATAGTCAAACAAACCCCAGTCACTTTTTTATAGAATACCAAAGGCTGTGAATTGTTCCCTATATAATTTAACTTCTACAGGAAATCACTGGGGCAGGTGATTCATTAATTAGGTTGAAGTATTAAAATAAATATCCAATTATATATTTCCACCATGGGCAAAGCTGAAAAGTGGTCATTATCATTAACTGTGTCTGGAGGCTGGATGGAATAAAATATGAGTAAAATATTAAATACTGTTCAATCAAAAACTATCCCCTTGCGTCAACTCCTCTTTTTTTACATGATAAAGTACCTGCAACTTCTAAGATTCCCTTGTGTTAAATCTGACTTACTGGTATGAAATAGATGGCTGTTTAACTCAAATCAAATCAATCAATAAATAAATATAATCTGATTGCTCAATAAATAAAGGCTGGAGTTAACCGAGTCTCTGCCCAGTGTCAACTAATGAGGCAACTGCAGGCCTTTTTGGATCAGTCACCACAGACAAGTTACACACATGCATATCAACTTAAAATTGATCTGTTGCAGCACATTCTATAAGGTTTCTTCTGATGCATTCAGCCCAGAATGCAGAGGTGGTATTCAGCAGTTCTGCAGAACTGGTAGGGGGAATTTTGAGTAGTTTGGAGAACTGGCAAATACCTCTGACTGGAGATTTTACATCCGTTGCCACACCCACAGAACTGGTAGTAAAATATTTTGAATCCCATCACTGCCAGAATGAGATACTTCAGATCTCAGTGCCAATGAGAAGTGAGTATGAATGTATACTAACTCTGTAGACTAGTCTGCCCCCGAGGTTCAAAGAATCAAACAATGTTAGCATTTAGTATGACAGTGAAAACTATTCATTTTCTCCTGGACATTTAGAAATTGTTTCCTTGTTTATTTTAATTGGTTGTGTATAATGTGTATTTTAATATTTTACTTTTTACTATTTAAGTTTTAATCTGAAGTAACATTTTTTTAGATTCTGTGGCTATGCAGGGCTCAGAGACGTAATGTAAATTCATATAATGATGCAATATTCTGACACTTTAATATTGCTATCTCTTTTTAAAAAATGATACAGAAATAGACAAGAGACAGGTTAAAGCCTTATTTCTATTTGCTCCCCTGAAAAAGTTTGTTTAAAAGCCTTAATCTACTTACCCAAAATTTTCGGCAATTTTTGTACTTTAAAAAATAGATTGCACACATATCCTTATCAGATTGATTCACTTCCAAACACTTTCTAGAAGCTTTGCTTTCCTTGAACATGAAAGGAAATAAAATATAAAAAACTAGTAGTTGATCTCCAGTTTGGAAGAGTACCATATTCATTTATTCAAAGGTAACTAAACAATAAGGCTATGATCTTACAAATAATTATGTTAGAATAAAATCCAACTTAAAAGTAGCGCTACTATCTGTTTCTTCAAACTATTAATCTAAAATATTAAAACTAAATTTAGGCTAAAAGTTAAATCTATAATTTTATAAATATTAAGATAATAAGTATCTTAAAATTCTCCCAACAAAAAATATTTTTACCAAGAAATCTTTGGGGTTTTTAAAACTAAAATAGAATGGATAAATCTAAAAGATATACTAGAATCCCAAGAAATATGCAAGAAACAAGGTAATTTCCTCATCTGACTAGAATGTTTTAAAGCTTGCTCGAAGGTTTTGTAACATCATATGATATCACCTATAACAAATCATGATTAAAATTTAGAAAAAAGTTACATCTTCAACTGACTTCTCAATTAATAGAAAGATGGGAGATGAAAAAAAAAATAAGGCAAGCTAAACTCAATAACTGATATTTCTTTGCAGAAGCAAAGGCATCAACAGAACTTCCTACGTACACTTCCTTCATAGGGCTTATACAAGAGCAAGGAAAGAAACATGGAATTCTTGTTGCTAAAAAACAGTACTATAATAGCACTGAAGAGCCCGTGTTTTATTTGCATATCTACTAGAGTTAAGTCAAGTTTTGTATAAATATCTTTAAAAGATTTTAAGTTGTTAAATTATAAATTACAATAGCAAATAAAATATTTGGTTCATGATCCCTTCAAAACATTTAATAAAAGATAGATTAGTATGATTCTTAGTATTAAGTTGTTAGATGTAATCAATATTCTATTATCAAGAAATAAGTTGTTTATCGATTTAGATGGATAATTGTTATTTTATTTGTTCTGCAAAGGGTTAATCTTTGTGCTAACTTATCTTGAAAAACTAAATCAAAGAAAAATAATGGATCTTGAATTATATAATATCAAATCAGCTTATTACAGCCATAAATCCAGGTAAAAGATCTAATAGTAGAATTGATATGTACATCTAGATGTGACAGAAAAAAAACAATGAATATAAGACTTAAACCAAAGGATATCTATAACAACATAAAATACAATATTATAACAAGTGAATAAATGAGCATTCAAATATAGATTTTGAATCTATAGATTTTGAATCTGTATTCAACAGGATGTTCTTATATTAAATGTCTATTTTTTTCAAAAAGGTAGAAATTTTAGAATTCATAAACATTTCTTAAACGTTACAAAAGATATCTACAAATCCTCAAGACTTCAAAACCAGTTTAGCAGCAAATGGAAACTTCAAAGAAGCCTTACCATTGGTTCATATTTTTAAAAAAGAAAACATCATTATTAAATTTTAATTTATTTAATTAAATTTATTATTGCTGTTCATTCCTTTTATAGTTGTTTTATTGTATTACAATAAAAATAAAAATGCAAATACCTTATAGAATTCATATATTAGCTCAGTACAAAGGTATTTGCTCTCTAATTGTAGGCATCAGAACAGAGCCAAATCTGAAACATGAAGAGTGTGCACGCTGTAAATATCGCTGGGAAAATACCGTTCCACTGGGCCAAGTCAACAAGAAATGTTTTGTTTCAAGCTACTGAAGTTCAGAAGTTTTTCCAAACTATTATGATTTAGCAATTCAACAGAAATAAACTCAGAACATACTGGTAGTTACAGGATCTCCTCAATATCAGCCATCAGCATTCTGGTCTGTCTGCTATCTCAACATATGATAGTCTAGTGTGGCAAATATCCCACCTGCCTACTATCCCAATCTTCCCAACTTTTTACCTTCCTTCTCCTGCCACCCTTGATGTCCCAGCACAGCATATCCTTTTCATTCCGGCATCTCCTCAACTGCCACTGGTTAGATCTTCACAAGCTGTTGCCAAGAAAATCCCTTCAGACTTTTTTTTTAAAAAAAAGCAAACTCTCCACTGTTCTCTGAATCATGTTTACCTGGATCAATCTTTCTAAAAGAACACAGCCCCATTTCATTCTATATATAAACTAAGATACCTAGAATACATGTCTCTGTTTGGGCACAAACATAGTCAACTGCTATATGTTTGCAGTATTTTTCACATTATTATATTAAGCTACACTTCAGAAAAATAAATTAAAAACCCATAATGACTGCTTATAAGAATTCAACTTACCACTAAACATGGATTAATGTCATAATCCTGCAATCGGCGTTTTTGGGACATAAAGTCAGTATGGTATTGTTTTACTCTGGATTTTTTCTTTAAACGACAGCAGCTAAAGAAAAGACAATTTCAATATATCAGGACAGCTTGTGCCTTGACAAAAATTTAATATTTTTTCCTAGGGATTTGTAAATAATATTTTAAGAAAAGAAGGTACATGTTTTGTAGGAAATTTTGAATAAGAAAAAAAATTCTTGCAAATAAGCATAATTAAAATCTGCATCCATATTCATTAACGATATTATGTAGGTATATTCAGTATTATTTTTTAATTCTGGCTTTTTTATGAGGTTTAACATTACCTTGAAAAAAGCACAAAGTTCTGAAAAATAATTTTACTTTAAAATTGGAAAAGAATGTGGCAATAGGTAACAATTTTTTAAAAAAACAAATAATCTGCAAAGCAAATATGATACAACTTTGAAATTGCCAACGTTGGCTGAAGTGAAGTATATTTCAGAGAAAATTCTGATTTCAGAAAATCTGCACTGGCACATTTCTGAAAAAAATATAAAGTAGAAATATATTTTTGCCCATCCCAAAGTTATAAATTTACAATTTTCCACAGGGTTTGGCTATCACATATTAATTTAGAGGTAAGAGGTGGGAGCTACAGTAGGTCAAACATGTCTACAGGGGGTTTAGGCAAGTCATCTGTATATATTTGTATAACCATGGGGCAATATAGGACCTATTTTTCTACACAGCATTAATTGGGGTCTTGGGCTAATAATCTTGAAAGCTATGAAATAAAAAGATCAATTGCAATAGATATTACAAAAACTGCTGGCTTATTATAATCCCTGGCAATAAATTAAAAAAGAGCAAACTTTCTTAGCTGATGTTTCCTATCCATCTATCTACTATCTCTTACAGAATGGCTTTTCAGTGACAATTAGGCAAAGAACAATGAGGATGATTTCCAGACCAAAACAATTGTGGGTGGCTTTTCTTCTGTTATATGTAATTATTGGCTTAACTAAGATGCAACAAATTATAATTTGAGCTTTGAAATACAAAGCAGTAAGAAATTTTCCAAGTTTTAGTATCTAAATTAAGAATTTTTTAAAACTTTGTTACATTCATATTGCAGGACAGCTTACGTTAGCATAGCCAAAATTCAGAAGTCTGTAGCAGTCTAAGTCTTTTCAAACATCAAAGTATAAGCTTTCATGAACTGCAGCTGATTTCATCAGATCAGAACCAAACTAAAAATACATAACTTTCAATACAATTTGTTCATCTAGCAGAGTCAAAAGAGTCAGGCAGGGCAACAGTTTATACTGCGTTTCCCAAAAAATAAGATCGGGTCTTATATTTTTTTTGCCATACAAAATGGCACCAGGTCTGTCCGGAGCTCTGTTATCAGCTGCAGAAGAAATGGGCCAGCAAGGCAAGTGTCAGGGTGTGCGAGGCCTGGCTGAAACTCTCCAATGCTAAGTAGTAAGGCAGCTCCACCACCACCCCCATGCCAGCGTGGCTTAATTTTTACCCATGCACAATGGAATGGGTGGGGCCTTAATTAGAATTTATTTTGGGGTAGGGCTTATATTGGGCACAGGTGTAAAAATCAATCTATGACTTACTTTCGGGGAAGGTTGTATTTTGGGGAAAACATGGCAGTGTTTCTACACAGTCCCAAAAGGACGACATTCCAGCCCCTTGAATGCAATCAACTGTTATCTAATTTTGTCCAGGTGCAAACCTTTTGTCTAAGAATGCATAGGCTTGAGGGGAAAAAATCAGTAGTTTTGAACTTTCACATGTGGACCTGCTTGCTTGAGCCTGACTGTACATCACCCTTGAAATGGGACAAAAGATATAACTTAACTTTGACAACTCAGATAACATCATTCAACATAGCAAATTAAGTAACAGAGTACTGGCAACCACTTAAGAAATATTGCCCAGCCTCCAAAAAAAACACCTGGACCTGTCTATGTGTAATCATTAAAAGTCAAGGTTGACTTTTGGGATCATCATACATACATACACTGATTTGAAAATGAGCTTTGAGATGTGATTTACAGCCTAATATTTATTTGTGTAATTGATCTACTACCTTAATCCTTATGATTCTTACATCATTTATCTGCAGACATTGGTCATTAATTTCTTCATTTCAAAATAAGGAAAGACATTCATGTGTTTTGGACACTAGTCCTGGCAAAAAAGGGTAAATTGTGCTTTTAAAGAGGTTTTCTATGACAAAGCAGTAGTCAGACTAGACTTATCTGCACAGTAAACAATGTATGTGAAATTTGCAGTCTAATCCTACGTAGGTTATACCAAGTTCAACATGGTTTACTGTCAGATTGCTGAAATACTTGCAGTTTATATTTAAAGCTCTGTAGTTTATACGAATGTTACAAAGTATAAATACTAAATATACTAATAACTAAACTATAGCCTCTGTGAACTCTAAAATATCTGTTACTTTTTCTGAAATATAAAAAGATACATTAAGTTTACAGACTTGCTAGTTTTTTGTTTTGTGTCAAATTCAGGCTGAAGCACTTTGTATTATAATTCTATTCCTACATCTTATATTAGGAAAGCAATCCTTTATTAAATGTTTTCTCCTTGGTGGAAAACACATAAATGTATGCAGACTGAGCTCTGTGAAATTGATGGCCATCTCTGTGCAATTTGCAGCTGATAGGAGAAAATAGCAACATATTCCTCCCAAAAACTGTTGCAGAAGTGAAGAGTTGGGAAATGAATAAAATAGCCCCAACACTGAAAATAAATTCCCAGAGACACTTTTTTTTAGGTCTGTATTTCTGCACTAACCTTTCTGTTTAGACTCTTAAGAATACAATAAAGATTCCTTGAGTCTACTTTAATCCTAATGAGTTAATAACACTTCCTTGTTATTTTCTAGAGAACAGTATATGGAACTTGGAAGTGATCTTATTCTGGGATTCACAGCCCTGGGATTTTCTCATCTAGATATATACTTATAGATTCAACTTTGTTTAATGACGATTTAATGACTACTCAAACTATCTAGCAAAGATGTACAAAAAAAACTTCTTATGGTTGTGTGTCGTCCTATGAAATCTTCTATGATAGCAATTTATGGAAAAATGGTCCCTATTCACCCCTATTAATTATTAATAGTTTCTAATATCTTTTACATCTTTGCTTTGATTATATTGTAAGCCTCCCAGAGTTGCTTGGATATGGAAATGGGCGGAACATAAATGTAATAAATGAATACGTTCCTTCCGTAGCATTCTTTCCAATGAAAAGCTTTCGGGAAGTCTATTAACACAAAGAAATCAGCTGTCTCTGAGCTTCGAATCCAACTTTCCATACAATTCAATGGAGCAGCACACCGCCATTCGCAACAGAAACTGAGGAAGGAAAAAGAAGAGGGTGCAGAAAGGCCAAATCCGAACCACAAATCAGGGAAAAAATTAGGATTGAACCTCCGTCGACTGAACTGCTCCCGGGGCCTTCCCACGTAATTTAGCCGAAGGGAACCTGGAGCATCTTGATGAGTGGCAATAATGACCCCGCAAAGCCCCCTAAAGCCCGTTTGTAGACTACCCTCGAAAGAAAAGCGAATCTAAGAGAGTCGGGATCACCGCGACACCTGAAACGAGCCGGGGAAACTGCTTGGGCCACCTTTCCCTCGAAGGTCTTTCCCCCACCCGCGTTCTTCAGTCTCTTCAGAGCCGGGAACAACGTCTGTCTCGGGCAATTTTGCGCCCCGAGAGGAAGTCAGCTCTAGCGAGGACTGTCGAAGCAGGCGAAGGTGCCCCACGCACCACAGGCGAGAAGCCGCGCTCTCACGTCGCCGCTCCGAAGCGAATACTCACCTCGGCCACCACGATGGAACTCAACCCGCAGCTTGAAGTCTCCTCTCGTATTCGAAAGACGTCAGCGGCTTGGGCAACGGACCTTATAACTGGCGCAGCCTACCCCATTTCTGGCCCCGCAGCCCGGTGGAAAATGACAGCTCCTTGACCCAATGGGGAGGCCAGAGCTCTTTGAAAGGCAGCGCCAAGCCGCCGCAGACTGGCCAATCTTTGCTCGGTTCCTCCCCGGGCTACCCCGAGCGGCGTTTCCTCCCACCAACGGGGCAAGCTGTGAGCGCGAAAGGCGCCACCGACTGGGCGCGGCTAGAAGTCTGAGTGACAGGGGGAGGTGTCCAACCCGCGGCGCGTGTGGGCGGCTGGCGGTGTGGGCGCGGCGTGTGCGGCAGGCTGAGCTGCACCGCAGCGCATACACTACAATGGCTGCTGGAAAGAGGGGAAAGCAAACAATTTCCAGGCCCGCCGCGTCCAGCCCGAAATATGGGGAAAAAATTACAGAAAAATCGGAGAACCCTGTAAAAGGCGGGAAGCGGGCGCTGAAGGGATGCTGAGGCTCCCGGGGTGAGTCTGCTGTGGGTTGGGGGTTCTGCAGCCGGGGTTCAGCAGAGAAATATTAGGGTTATTTAAATTCTGAAGGGGGAGGAGGAGGAGGAGGGACGCGAAGAGCAAAGCAACAGCAGCCGGAGCAGGGATGGGGAAGGTTTGCGCGGCTCCATCTCTCTTTTTAGTCCTTGAGCTTCTTGAGGGGGGGTCTTTAATCCAGCCCGGGGAGGCACCCTAAAAGTAAGGCTCGCTTTCTCCAGCCTTGGCTGAGAGTTCTTCCCCGCTCTCTCTCTCCCCCCTTCTCCTTTGCCTCGGTCCGGGTTTCTTGGAACGGTGAAGAAGTGCCTCCCCTCCCCCGCGCGCGCTTGTTTTAGTAAGTGGGGAGTTTTGCAGAAACTTGGGAGAAAAGCCCCCCCCCTCCCCAAACACACACTTCGTCTCTCTGTATGTGTGTGTCTTCTCCACCCCCTCCCTTCCCTGAGCGCCAGCGTCTGTGCTGTGAATATAGTGACAGCAGCGGTAGCAGCAGCAGCAGCAGCAGCGAGGAAAGGAGCGGAAGACATTAAGTTCGCGGTGCCCCAAAATGAGAGAAAATTAATGAAAATTCAGCCGTGTCGCCGAATCGGACACATTTTGCGTAGAAACGTTGCGAGGGGATTGGTCTTCCCGGACGGGGTGCCGGGGTGCCCGCAGACGAAGCTTTAGGGAGATCTGGAGTCACTTTGGGACATCCAGCGCCCTTCTCCCTCTTTTCATTGGACAAAAGTTTTTTTTTTGCTCCCCCCCCCCCCCCCCCCCCTAAAGAAGCGAAATTGCCTCCTTTTTGACTTCGGCGGATCCGGAGACTTTCTTTTCCTTTCTCGTGTGGGTTTGGAAGAGAAGCTTAGGAAGGCGAGCGAGGTTGAGGGTGGGCAGCATTGGGGAGCGGGGTTCGTTAACTGAAAGCAGGAGAGATCCGGAGAGGGAGCAGGGACAGCTTGTTGTCAGTATCATAAACAACCAAAATGGAGGGAGAACTGAGGCATATAACAAAATTAAAAATAGCTCGAAAATTCCTAAAAAAAATCCCCAAGTCGCCCGAGCTTCCGAATTGGCCCCTAAATGATCGCACTGAACCCGCACACCCTCGTGTTGAGTTTTTAATACTCTCGGAGAGCAAGGAGTTAAAATTGATGCCTATTTTTGTTGTTGATGATCGCTTTAGAAAGGCAAAAGCCCTTTTACAGCTCATTCCCGACACTGCGAGAACGTGAAAAACCCCTTTCTTCCTTGAATGGTGGCGGGAGGTGGGAATGCACGAGCTGCACAGTTTTGGGGCAATGTGGAGCTGATTGTGAAGAAGGTAACTGCTACATTTGCCAAACTTTGTACCTTCCTTTTCTTTGTCTGGGTGGTGGTGGTAGAAGCACAGATGGAAGAAAGAGGAGGTGGCGCGAAATGAATTACCTCGAGATTGCCTTTCTGTCTGTCTCCCAGTTAAGATGTAATGCAGTGTAAAAATGTAAACCTGTCCTGTCTATGGAATATCATTAGGATTGATTATGGGTCTCAGTGTTTGGGGTTCTTCTTTGTAAAGTGTATTCTATTTGTACAATGCGGAGTTAAAAGCAGCGTGCCTTAGAGTGAACTGGCAGAAAATCCTATAGTGAGGTTTTAGGAGAAAACCGGTGACTTGGTCTAGCATACTTCACTTGGTTTGCATTTTACAAAGCATGCAATCTATATTTTTCTTCAGATTTTAAAAACGATGCATTATTTGCACCATATTAAAGTTGATGTGAAAGTGCTGCTAATGTTGGTTTCCACGTGGGATCAGAGACAGAGCAGGGTATCTTAAAGAGACAGCTCCTCTTTTAGCTACCCTCACCTATGTCAGAGCTCCAGCTAAGGCAAGGCAGTTGTCCTGTATTTGCTAAAATGTAAAGCCATAAATCAAACTCGAAGAGAGACTGATCCCTTAAGCTGACAGAGTTGCACTAGTTCCAGTGTGATTTCTATGGATATTGATTGGATCTAAGTGTTTACTTGCTGTGAGGCTATAAGGTTGTATTGTTCAGTGGTTGAATTTAAATTAACTTGTGCTTCGGAAATTGATTTTGTAATAGTATGTGTAGAAACTGAAATAGTTCTGCAAGTTATAGCATTATAATTTCTTAGAATAACAAAGTTTCCTTTGTATTAATATAAATTCAGTTGAAGGCACGAGAGAGAGCTGATAATTAGACAATATTGGGGGAGGGATGTCAGTTAAAATGAAGTAAAAGTATGTCTATAATATTCAAACCTGGTCAAAATATATGGCTAGAGCACATAGGGGGACCTATCTGTGTGAAATTTTTACATATGCTTATGGTATCTCTGTTTTCATTGAAATACAATATAAAGTGAAAACACGTTACATTTTTAGAATATGTGGTTGATAGTCACCTAATAATTTGAAGTACCAGTGACTGTCTTTTCAGTGAATCATGTTAGTCTTCGTGATACAGAATTCACCATACATGTTTTAAAAGCTTCTAGCAATTTACCTGAAAAATATTGTAACAGCTCTCACCTTTCTCATGCATACATATCTAACATACTTGCTTTTACACAGTATAGATTATAAAGTGACTTCAGATAAGTATTCCTTCCAAAAGGGTTAACTGAACATTGAGATTAAAGCCATCAGTGTTATTTTGTATACCTGAACATCTGTTTTAGCATGTCTTTTATGTGAGCAACTGAAAGATGATAGTCTTGTGATCATATATGTCACTTCCTTGGAAAAATGTATTGATTGTAAACAATCTTGTGGCTTAATACCTTTGCACAAAAACACCAAATTTTCCAGTTATCTTTTTTTAATTTAATCATTGCAATTATTTTTAAAGAAAATATTAGTTCATTTGGGGAGGGATTAGTTTTTTTATGAAGATGCTATATAAACTGTTTGCTGAAGATTTACCTGTTTTTGCTATATGTTCTAATATTTCAAATACAATAAAAACTTTTAAGAAAAACAAACTTTCAAACAACTGATGCATACCACAAGTTTTAAGAATGTCACTTGAGTGACTAGGGTTTGTAGTACATAAGCAATTTTGAATTACCAAGTAAAGTCACTGCATTCATAAGTATATATAGTGGAATAAATAAGAAATAGATATGTAGTCTTCCATTCTTACCCTAAATACATGATACACTATGGCATTTATGGAACACGAATAGTAATGTTCAACATTGGCATTAGCCTTAATGCTGAGTTTTAAGCATGAATCTTTATTTCTCTAGAGTTCACATTAAATTGTATTTCCCAGAGGAACAAATAAAATTTATCTACCTTTCATAATAGAAATTATCTAAAAGAGATTTACAGACCTAGTATTTGAGTATAGTTTTATATGGAATACTGACATAATGATAAATTCATTGTTAAAAATGAATTGTTCTGAAAAATACAATTTGAACGTTATTTTCTTGCTGTTTTTTCAATGTTCTCCCTTTATAGAAAAGTTTAATAAAATAAAATTAGACTGTGTTGTTTAGCCCTAAATATATTTAAAGCTAAAAGAAAGTATTTGTTTCTAAAATACATTTTATTTCCTGACTTTTGTTTTACAACAGGTGAATTTCTACATCTTTTAAAATTGGATAGACCTCCAAGAACATAGATCTTTTACTACTAAGAACATACAATTTTTTCAAAGATAAAATAAAGTTTTAAGAAGTTATATTAATTATCAAATTCGTGTATTATGCTATAATGTTTGAAATTTCATACTTCAGTGCATTTTATTCTTCATGTTACTTTATGATTCAACCTTGTTTCACAAAATTTTTTAAATTTTAGTTAGGTAGTCATGCTTGATGCATTAATAATTCAATTATGATATTTAACCTCTTTCTAATATTTTATCAAAATTGTTTCATTCCACTGTAATTTTACTCTTTTGATATAGAGGTTTAAATTGCTCAGTTTCAGTCATTTATGTAAATTGTTTTATACTTAGAAAAGTTTTTGAAAGAGGCTTTAAATTGTGTACTTTACACTTAGAGGTTATCATTTGTATCTGATAAATTTAATTGTAATGGTTTTCACACATGTTGTTAAACTTTAAAGGGATACTGAATAATGTGTGAAAGTTTTATAGTATTTAAATCTTCAGTGAATCACACTAAAATGTGAAAATGTCTTAAGTGATGCCCTTCTGAAAGTAGATAGGATTAATAATTCCAGTAGATTTCAGCAGAAGGATTTAGTAACTATCTGAATGACAGGCTAATTACCTTTAACCAATTACTGTTTAAAAAGTGTTAGGGAACTGTGAGGATAAATGAAATATGCAAATGTAATTTGTACTTATCTGACACAGAATTTGTTTTAAAAAATTACATGACAGCAGCTAATGCTCTAAGTAAAAGATGCAAGAAACAAAAATTGTCTACATTTAAAGAAAGCAAGAAGCAGTTATAAAGTAGTTTTTTTTTCTTTGCAGTAAAGAGATATTTGCAGATAAATAGAAGAGTGTTTTTCTGAAAAACAGTAAAACTAATTTATCTTAGTTCTATGTATATTTAGTTGCTATTGGATAGCACAATCATATGTATAATGCATTAATATAATCTGATTATATTAGTGTCAATACAATAGTGTCTGTCCTATAACTGCACAACAATTAGATAACTAAAACTACAGTACTAAGGTACCCATAATATAACTTAATACTTTCAAATAATGAGGTAAATTTTTGAAAGACCTTTATCTTCAAACAACTAGCACAAATATAAAAATTACAATTCTTATCTATTTTAACAATTGCTTACTTCTGTATGTTACTGAAAAAATATATTATCAGAGTTTTTGTGAATGTGTGGAATTTGGGCAGCTTATTCATACTTTGTGAAAATTATAAAACTGATTACTATAAGTAGAAAAAAAAAGTTTTATTAACATTAAAAAGCTTTTTTAATCTGTTCCTAAATGAACTTCTCACCATGAAATTGTCTGTATTTGTATATTTTTGCTCCAGACCACT